CATCCATCATATATACTACAAAGAGTGTAAAAACATGTTCATAAATAGTATATAGTCATTCATCATAAATACTACAAAGAGTTTAAAAACATGTTCATAAATAGTATATAGTCATCCATCATATATACTACAAAGAACATAAATTCGATAAAGTATGGTATTTCAAAATATTCTTCATAAAGCATGATAATCATAAAGCGTAAATCTAATTTACTCATAAAACGTTTCATAAAATGTAACCATTAAATCATGCTTTTCATGTATGCATTTCTACTATTAAAACATGCATTTTAGAAAGGGTCCACTCACAGATACTTCATCGTTGAAGAGCTATGACGTAATCGTCGCTAATAATCGCACCTAAGCACATAAAGGGTCTAATTAATAAAACTCTATCATAACGATTGAATTTTGGAAAATGGACTTCATAAGCGGATTTAGGACGTCGAAATTAGTCTAGGAGGGGTCCCGACCGAAACCCGAAAAAAAGTCAACAAAGAGTCAATGTTGACAGGTCAACGATCAACGGTCAAATAGGTCGGGTCAAAGGCCGATCAACGGGCCAAGTCACGGTTTGGGGCTACTGGGCCGAAGGCCCAAGGTCTGGGTCCAAAGGGGTTTGGGGTTTAATGGGTTAATAGGTTTAGAGATTGGGCCTGGGTTTAGGTCGGGTTACAAGGCCCATGGGTTTGGGCCAACTTTGAATTGGGTTTGGTTAGCTTAGGACTAGGTTGGGTTACTTGGGTTAGCTTCCATGGCCCAATTCTTTGGGCCGACCTAGTGCTCTTGGGTTGGGTTTGACCCAGTTTCTGGCCGGGGTGTGCTTGTTTTAAGGAAGAGGAAAGTCGAAGCTTTCCAAGCTCCGTTCAACCCCAAAACATGACCAAAACAGGTCATACAATATACCAAAATGAAGCCCAAGGAACAAGGAAGAGATTCGTACTAATTTCAAGGCGTGTGGTGGCTGGAGTTGGCCTAAAAACGCCATAGAAGCCACGGGTACATGCCGAAAACTAAGTTTAGCTCGTCCGAGGCGATTTCTCGATGTTTCAACGCCCACAATACACATATATGATTAGAAGTGAAATATGGGAACCAAAAAGGAAATCTTTGGAGTGTTTTTCGAGACCTACCTATGTAGAGGGTAATGGAGACCCGCTGGAGCTACTTCATGCATTTGTACCAATTCTTGGGGTGTCCAAATTCTGGAGTTGTCACACACAGAGGAGGGAGATGGACAAGAAAGGTGAGGGAGGTCCCAGAGAGAGTTAGTGTATGTGTGTAGGTGCTCGGGGGAAAAGAGAGCTGAGGGAGAGAGAGTGAAGGTGTGCACGGGAAGGGGAACAAATGAGGAGTTGGGCTGGGGGACAAAAACTAATGGTGGGCCCCACTTGGGCATACCAAAGAAGACCCAAAAATAATATTTTAAACAAATATCCCATAACCCAATTGAATTTACCACAATACCCATATGTTCCTAAATATCCGAGACGGGTTGTTATAGTTATGCATGAACTGACAATATTGATTAACAGAGAAGGCAATATCAGGCCTTGTAAAGGTTAAGTATTGCAAGGCTCCCATAATGCTTCGATACTGTTGTGGACTGTGATAAGGAGTGCCCTCAGTTTTAGATAACCTGTGATAAGGCAAACATGGTGTGGCACTAGGTTTTGAATCTTGCAAACCAACCTTTTTGAACAAGTCCTTTTTGTACTTAGTTTGGGAAACAAAGAGACCATGAGACTGATATGTTATCTGTATCCCCAAGAAATAGTGTAATTGACCCAAGTCCTTCATGTCAAACTCCTTAGTTAATGCTTAAACAACTTTATCAATCAACTGAGATAAACTGCCAGTTAGGATGATATCATCCACATATAAAATGAGAACAATAGTACCAAGATGAGTGTGTTGCACAAACAATGATGGGTCTGCAAGAGAAGCCTTAAATCCCAACCATGGTAAAAAGCTTGTAAATTTTTCATTTCAGGCTCGGGGAGCTTGTTTCAAACCATAAAGTGACTCCCTAAGTTTGCAAACATAATGAGAGGGATGAATTGAACTTTCAAAGCCTTGTGGTTGAGACATATACTGTCACGCCCCAAAAAGAGGCACGTAATAATGCCATGCTCTATTAGTAACTTAATACTATAGTGTTAAAATCTAACACTATAGCACTACATTCCTAATAGAACGTAAGGCTATTTGAGGGGAATAAAATAATTTATTTTTGAGCAGTACGGAAGCGGAAATTATATTGGTAAAACGAAGAATAAAAGGGCAACTGAATTTGGATAAAATTTTTACATAGGAAAAGAATTTCACAATCTACAACAAAACCAAAGAGTTTAAGGTAATTATCATACTAAACCAACTCTTTAGTACGATTTGAAAATGCAAAACGTTGAGTTTGGCTACAAAAATCCCTTCAAGACGATGAGGCTATGAACAACTGAGAAGTTGACAAGTAACAAACAACGCTAGTCCCGACTTTTGTCCAGTTCGTCTACTTATAGGTGCACCAGACCTGTAATAAAGTAATGGTAAGCATCACAAACGTTCATCGTTCCCCCTCAGGGAATCCACCCCAGCTAGGTTTGAAAATAGTATACGACACTATATATACTATAGGAAAATGATTGATGCACAACAAAAGCTTTGTTTAGTTTTGAAAATAGGTTATATGCTCACACAATTTCCTTTAAAAAAACAATAGGGATCCCAATAAATTGCTACATGCCTGATGACCAGTCTAATGACCAACTACTCGCTTACCTGGACCAACTCCGAACGAATATACTTATGGTAAGTTGTAGCGAGAGTGTCCCTTAATGCTCTACCCTTAGATGTCCTAGTACCTCTCCTAGAAAGGTAGCGATACTAATCCCTTTGTAGTATCCCCTCCGGAGGTTTAGGGGATCGAAACCCAAGGCGGTCGCTATGCCCCCTTCACTCTCAAGTCATCACTTTAATTTGTAGCATAAAACAAAACATGTATATCATGATATAAAACAAAACCATTTTTCCTTATGGTTCTATCACAACAAAATCTATGTAGCTTTCATAGGCATTCGTATATTTACATATACATACATGCACAAAATTCCATAACTAGGGTAAGTGAGGATTCTCCTACCTGGTCTCCAAGCCAAGCAAGCAATATTCCTCACCAATACCTCGATTAAACGCAAGCACTACGAGTAATTGGAGTCCCTAGTTCAACAATTACAATATGCCACTATATGTCCATATATAATGACTAAACTTTATTCCCATAACAACAACTATATCCAATAGGGACCTTCACTTAACCAGAATAAAAATTATGTATTTGAACTTTTTATTATTTCAAATAGATCCCAAAATTTTTGATAATTGCACTTTGGACCCCAAACTTTTAGTAATTTACACAATTACCCCAAAACTAAAACTATTTTTGTAGTTCAGTCCCTGGTATGAAACCAGTGGCTTTGAGGTCTATTTTCCCAGAAATTCAACATATCTTTCAAGCCAAAACACAATCCATCAATAGTACAACTCACTTCTTCCATACAAACGTCCTTTAAGGACTAAATTTGATGAATTTCGAGTCAAACATCAATTTTTTTTCTAAATCTCATCCATATGAAACTTGTACAAAATCCCAAAAATCTGATCATATGTAAATCTTTACCTTAATGTCTGAGAAATCGTTGTCCAGTCATCAAATAGGCTTCAAAGCCCTCAAATTATGCAAGAACAAGCTTGAATCGAAGATTTAAGCCTAATTAGTCATAAACCCAATTTGAACGAATTATTCAAACCTAAATAATAATTCCTCAAAATTTACCTTAGAATGTTGAGCTCGATTCACTGAACATGTAGACGAAAACTATTCCTCAATCGAAATTTTGGATTGAAAGTTACGAATTTCGAAAGATTAACAAAAAAAATTCTTCTCTACAAAGGCTTAACATGCATGCTTGCATGTAGCCATATATCTCACTACAGCGTCCAACCCGTGCACTAGTTGGTAACCAAAACCAAAAAGAATGAAGTCCCTATTTTATAGGGAAATGGTTGCTCCAATTAGCTTGTCATTGGTTGACATAGAGGCAAAGAAAGTCTACATGCAAGTGGTGTCAATTGCATGATAAAAGCATTGACACCGCTCTTGCCACCTTCAGCTGCAAGGCTACTTACAAGCAGCTCAAATACTTGGTTTAAAATCACTGTAGATGCTCATAGAACTACTTAATGCCACGTCCAACCTGTAACTTCCAATAGTCATCCTTGTATGCCAATCCAAAGTTGACAACAAGGCTTCTTGATAATTCTTATAAATTAGCAGCATGGTGGAGCTTATCAATATATAACCATGAATAAGCTACTAGGTTCTCTTGCGGAAGGTGGCCGTCTAATTGATCTCCACGTGGCTAATTCCATCACTTGTAAGCTGTCTTGCGTCATCGACACATTGGTACAACATGAAATTATCTTAAAAATTCATTCAAGTTCCTAAAAGTAATCCGAAAGATGTTACAAACTCGTAATGACGTTCACCATCTTCTCAATAAATAAGCACAATATATTTTTTTTTTCAAATATTTCTCTTCTTCAATAATAAGTTCTTGGGATCTTACATATACACCACTTCATGCAGATCACCATGAAGAAATGCATTCTTCACATCCATTTGCCTTAAGGACCATTTAAACTAAGATGCTAATGCCAAAATTAACCTAACTGTGGTAGGTTTCACTACAGGACTAAAAGTCTCATTGTAATCAACTCGCTCCTCTTGGTTATAGTCTTTTGCAATTAGCTTGCTTTATATCTTGCCATTGAACCATCATGATTGGTTTTGATACGATAGACCCACTTACAGCGTACTAAGTTTTTGTTAGATGCAATGGAACTATAGACCAAGTATTTTGAGATTTCAAGGCAGTGATCTTATCTTCCATAGCAGCAATCCATTCTGGTATTTTACTAGTAGACTTAAAAGTTGCAGGTTTTCAAACTTGTGTAGATGACTTAACTGTAGCTGAGAACACCTTCTTCTTGGATATGCTACTTTTAGATCGAGTTTGCATAGGGTGCAAACTCACCGAGGGTATGAGAAGGACAACTGACAGATTTTCAAGTTGAAAATTAAGATCAACAGGGATTGGGGACTGTGTAGTATCTGCAATTGATGAAGCAAATGATGAATGATGAGGGAGAGATTCCATAGATCCCAAAGTATTAACAAGTATGGACATGGAACACTCTAAGGCATTAGTGGTAGTAGCAGTTGAAATGATATTGTTATGTGAATTGACTAGTGAAGAAGGAATTGTTGGTTGTAATTATGATGATGTGTATGTAGTGAGTGGTGATGCATGGTTGGAGGTAATGATGGATGAATAAGGAAAGTTTGTCTCATCAAACAAAACATGTCTTGAGACATATATTTTGTTTATAAGAGACAAAGATAACCTTTATACTGGCATGCATAGCCTATGAATATGCATTGTGAGGTTTTAGGTTGCAACTTACTAGAGTTCAACTATTTTTAAAAAGTGGGAAACAAGCATAGCCAAAGACTTTAAGATGAGATATAGAGGGTGGGGTTCCAAACAAGCATTGAAAGGGAGATGACATATGAAGAGTTTGACATACCATTCTATTTATGAGATAAACAAAAATGACACAAGCATGAAACCAAAATTTAGGTGGTAACTTTGCTGTTTGAAGTAGAGTAATGGCTGTTTCAAGTATGTGTCTATGCTTCCTTTCAGCTAGACCGTTTTGTTTAGGGGCATATGGACTTGACTTCTGATGAATTATACATTTTTTTTAGTAGGTATTGTTTGAATTTGTGATTGGAGTATTCACCCCCACCATCACTTTGAGATACTTTCACATTTGTAGAAAATTGAGTAACCAAAAAACTGTGAAGGTTGACAAATACACCAAAAACTTCAGTTTTATTTACTAAGGGGAAAATCCAAGTAAACTTGGTACATTCATCCACAAAACTTACATAGAATCTATAACCTTCAATGGAAACAATGGATGAAGGACCTCAAACATCACTATATATGATCTCTAGAGGTTGTAACACAAATGGAAGCTTGGCAAACTTGCCTTCCAAAAAAGATTTACAAATTGAAGACACATGATCTAAAGATGTATGAATGTTGGATTGTTTTAACATTGCAGAAGTAACAATGTTGGAAGGATGTCCTTGTCTTTGGTGCCCCAAATTTATTTTGACTTGACTGCCAAGATAACATGTTTGTTGCTGAAAGGATGCATTGTATTTTTGTGCTTGAGTGATGAGATGCTATGGAATGTGAAAGGGTATAGGATAGAGACCTTCTCTACACAGTCCCTGAAGGAGGATTTTCCTTGTGATCTTGTCCTGGATCCAGAAACAAAACTCATCACAAATGAATCGACATTTGTTATCTTTACATAGTCGATATATAAATAAAAAATGTTGTGATAATATTTTCTTTAACTCGAAAGCATACTTAGGATTATGAAGAGTAGTATAGCCTGTATTAGAGATTGGCAAACCTGAGCCACTTGTAGTTGTTACTGTATCATTGCGAGAAAATGGTGTTGCTAGATTAAGATTGGAGAGATCCGAGGTTATATGAGAAGTAGCCCTAGTATCAACAACCCAGAATTGTTCTTGTGGTGCAGAAAGAGAAAATGCAATGTGCATTGCAGAGAGATTGGAAGATGGTGATCTGCCTTGATAAGTGAAGTTTCCCCTGTGATAACATTGAACTGCAGTGTGCCCAAACTTCCAGCAAATTTGGCATTGAACTTTGGATGGTGTTGAAGTTGTAGAGGAATGTCTCTAAAAACAATCTACATCAATGTGACCCTTTTTGTTGTATATTTGACATGTAGGAACTTCATAACCATACTCGGGACAAGTGGAAACATGAGGTTTGGTAGTTCCAAGAATTCTAGTACTTGGATTAGAAGATCTTGCATTATACCTTGAATTGGAGTGAAAATTGATCCTGCCCTTACCTCTTCCTTGAAAACCATTCGAAATATAGTCTCCATTGTAGTTAGAGGAATGATTATTGTAGCCACCATTAGTTGAACCACCACTATAAGCCTGTGACTGTGAGGAACCACTGGAAGGCTCTTCTCCTAACATAAGAGCTTTGCCTTTGCCTGATGTTTCTTGTGCAACCATTGCAGTAACAAAAGACTCAGAAACTGAATGTTGCTTAGTAGTTGCTTCCTCAGCTAACAATTGGGATCGAAACTCCTTAAGAGTGATCACATTTTCCTTGCCTCTTATAACTGTCCTGAAGGTATTATATTCAGAAGGCAAACCTTTCAGTGCCAATTTCACAATATCATCATCTCCAAATGTTACACCAGCTGCAGAAAGATGATCCCTCACATCTTTAATTCGTTGCAAATATGTTGAAACTGAATATGTTCCCTTCGTAATGTTTTGCAACTTAGTTTTTAACTGAAAAATACAGCATGCAGTAATGATCTTGAGAAGATTGCAGTGCCTTATACTTCTTAAAGTTTTGCATTCATCAATGAAACTCCTGGAAGCTCCTTCTTGTTGAAGGTTTAACACCTTAACAGCTACTACCGCCATCACTAGAAAGTACTCCTCTGTATATGGAACCAAAACTTCCCGAACCAATGAGATTTTCCTTTGAAAACCCGTTGGTTGATTCAAAGAGTTGTAAATAAGAGACACATGATTTCGAGTCCTCATCGGTGCGTGAAGTTAAAGGTCAACTTCTTGACTTTTCACCTTTGCACAAGCAGCAATGAAACATGAGAGTAATTATTAATGCAAGTGCGCAAGTTAGAGGGATTATTACTTTTGGGGAAAGTAGTCCTCGAGATGATTTAGATTTTTTGCTGGTGCATACAGGTAGAAGTAATTCTCGGATGCCACCACAGAGCTTATTATTTCTAAGAATCGAGAAACCACTCGCATTTGAAAATATCCCTTCCGAGGGCAATTCATCCTAAAATTGATTATGTGAAACATTGAGTTGCTGTAGAGATCCAAGCTTACCCAAAAAGTCAGGAATCTGGCCAGATAAATTATTGCATGAAATATCAAGTTCTTCCAAGCCTCTTAACTTGGCCAGAGATTGAGGAATTGTTCTTTCAAATTCGTTACCTTCCAAATATGGACGCACCAAACTAGCACAGCTGCCAAGGGTTTTTGGGGATTTCACCTGATAACTTGTTTCCTGATACATCTAGCTCCGAGAGATGTACCAACTCGCCCACTTCAGATGGTAGAGAACGAGTCAAAGAACTGTTCGATATGGACAAAGAAATTGAAAGGGATGAAAGCTCGATAACCTCTTTAGGTATGGTGCCACTTAGCTGATTACTAGAAAGGTTAAGCATCAACAAGTTTTGGCAGCTCCCAAGACTTGGAGGTATGCTTCCCTCAAACCTATTCCCCTCCATGAAGAGCCTTGTGACCGAAGTCAAGTTGCCTAGCGTCGATGGGATTGTCCCGGAAAATTGGTTAAGATATAAATACATCCCCTGCAACTTCTGAAGCTTTCCGATTGCATCAGGGACAGTACACTCCCCTTTAAGTTGTGAACTGATTTCACTCCAAGAAGATCTCTCAAGTAAGTGAACTGCTCCCTTGTCAATGCTTTTGTAAAAATCTGCTATTGCTCCTTAGTAGGACAGTAAATCAAATCAATTACTCCTTGCTGCAATGCTTCCTTTATGAAGTGGTATCTTCTGTTTATATGCTTGGTCTTCTGATGAAAGATAGGATTCTTAGTGATGGCTATGGCTGATTTATTGTCACAATTCATTGGTGTTGCAACTGTTTGCATTTCACCAAAATCCTCTAGAACGAATCTCAACCAAGTAGCTTGTGCTGTTGCTTCAGAAGCATTGATATACTTTGCTTCGGCTGTGGATAATGCAACACATTGTTGCTTGACTGAAGACCAAGAGAAAATCCCGTTGCCAAAGGTAAAAGCATACCCGGATGTGCTTTTCATATCATCCTCCGAGCCACTCCAATCACTGTCACAGTATCCCATTAAGAGTGTTCCTTCACCTTTCTTGTATTCCAAACCAAAATCAAGAGTTCCTTGAACATATCTCAATACTCTCTTTGCTGTTCCATAGTGCTTGTTAGTGGGACAATGCATAAACCGAGATAATAGACAAGCAGCATACATTATATCAGGTCTAGTTGCTGTGAGATACAACAAACTACCTACAATCTGTCTATACTGAGCTTCATCTGCAGCTCCACTTCCATCTTCTTTTCTCAGTTTATCACTTAGAACCAAAGGAGTACTCACAAATTTGCAATTCTGAAGTCCAAATTTCTTCAATAGAGATAAAGCATAGTTTCTTTGATGAATGAAAATACACTCCTCAGTTTGTATCACTCCCATACGAAGAAAATGGTGTAAAAGACCAAGATATGTCATCTCATACTTATGCATCATCTCAGTTTTGAAAACATCCATTAACTCTTGACAATTTCCAGTATATATAATATCATCAACATAAATGGATACTATGATCAATTCTGTGTCTTCCCTTGCACTTGGTATACAGAGTTGCCTCACTGATGCTTTTCTTAAACCCACAAAGCATAAGGTATGAGTCTATTTCACCATACCAGGCCCGCATGTTTTAGACCATACAAAGCTTTATGTAGTTTGTGAACCTTTTCTTCCTCTCCTTGCACAACAAACCCATCTGACTGTTCAACATATACCCCATCTTCTAATACACCATCCAGAAAAGCTGATTTCACATCTAGTTGAAATAACTTCCATTTATTCTTTGCTGCCAGTGCAATTAGAGTTCTAACTATGTCTAACCTTGCAACAGGTGCAAAAGGTCTCGTTAAAATCAATTCCGGGCTTTTGTGCATAGCCTTTTGCAACAAGTCTAGCTTTGTTCTTTTCAACTGTCCCATCCAAATTCAACTTTGTTTTATACACCCATTTTACTCCAATCACAGGCTTATTTGAAGGTCTTCTCACCAACTCCCATGTCTAATTTTTTCTCAATCATATTCATTTCATCCATCATTGCCTTTTTCCATGCTTCATCCTGTGCAACTTCATCAAAGGACTCAGGTTCAACAATACATAGATGGCATCTCTCATAGATCTCACTCAGGTTCCTATACCTCAGTGGAGTATTATCATACTGAGGTGAGACCAGTGAGCTACTTGATTCACCAATAGCAGTGACTGGAGAATTTCCAGCTTGAATTTGAGACCCATCAAAATCCTTCTTTGTTCATAAGATCCAGACATCTCATAAATTTTTATCAAAAATCTGAAAATTCAACTGCAGATAAAGGAATACAAACTTCCTTGACTTTGTGTTTCTCCCAGTCCCATCTACCATTTTCATCAAAAATTACATCTCTGGATAACAAGACCTTTTGAGTTAAAGGATTCAGTACCCTATACCCCTTTTCACAAGTACCATATCCAATGAAAACACCCATGACACTTGTTTCTTCTTCTAATTTGTGCCTTAGATTCCCTGGAATAAGAGAATAACATACTAAACCAAACACTTTTAAGTGTTTAACCCCAGGTTTTCTTCCACTGAATTTCTCAAAAGGTGTAGTGTTCTTCACTGCCTTTGTAGGACTTCTGTTTAGCAGATACACAGATGTGTTTACTGCTTCACACCAGAGATTATATGGAAGTTCTTTCTCATGAATCATGCATTTTTCCATCTCCACAATTGTCCTGTTTTTCCTTTCTGCTACTCTATTTTGCTGTGGAGAGTATGCAGTTGTGAGCTGTCTTTCTATCCCCAAATCTTCACAAAACTTTCCAAAATCATTTGAGTTGAACTCTCCTCCTCTATCCGCTCTCAGTTTCTTTACATGGTATCCACTTTGAAGCTCAACCATGGCTTTAAATTTCTTAAACACATAGAAGGCCTCTGATTTGTTTCTCAAGAAATATACCCAGCACATTCTTGAATAATCATCTATAAAGGTAATAAAGTATCGATTTCCACTTAGACTTGATGTTTTCATGGGACCACACATATCTGAGTGTATTAATTCAAGTGGTTCCCTTGCTCTCCACAATGATTCTTTGGGAAATGGTTCCCTGTGATTCTTCCCCAGTGCACAACTTTGACATACAATTTCACTGGCTTGGATTTCAGGCAGTCCCAAAACCATCCCTTGACTTTGTAATAATTTGAGACTGCTGAAATTGAGGTGACCAAACCTCTTGTGCCATATCCTAACACACTCCTGCACATTTGTCCTCAATGCAAGCTCCTTATTTGTGTTGAGAATTAAATGAAAACATCTATTTCCTTTCTGCTTCACACTGACCACCAAGTTTTGTAAGGATCTATCATCGAACACATCCACTTTATAATCTCCAAATAAAAGAAAGTAACCATGCTCAGTCATCTGTCCCACACTTAGCAAATTTTCTGCAAGACCAGGTACAAGCATAACTTCCTTTATATATCTTCGACCCTTTATTGTTTCAATGATCAGTGTTCCCTTCCCTTCAACTTCAACCAAGACTCCAGTGCCAACTTGGACCTTGGCTTTCACTCCTCTGTCAATATCAACAAGTAAGTCTTCTCTGGATGTCATATGGTTACTACATCCACTATCTATGTACCATTCATCACTTATCTTCTTCACTTCTCCAGAATGATTTGCATAAAACAGATTTCCAGTTTCATCAACCTGATTAGCAAAGTTCACCTTTTGCACAGTCTTGTTCGCATTACAATACCTTGCAATATGCCCAATTTTGTTGCACTTGTGACACTTGACCTTGTTTTTAACCCAACACTCTCCATAATGTCTATCACAGAATTTACACTTATCCCCAGTGTTTTTTGCCTCATTCTCACAGTGAATCCAACCTTATTACTCCAATCACCCTTGGTACTCCATTGTTTCTCTTTTGGCTTAAAATTCTTGTGATATTTGCTACTGTTTGGCTGGCCATTAAACTTATTGGACTTAGGGGTAAATTTCAAACTAGCAAATGCTTTCTCCATACTACTCTCTCCATGTCTATCCAACCTTTGTTCATACCCCTTCAAGATAGCTACAACATCATGTGCATCTATGGTGTCTAAATCCTTAGTATTCTCTATCACAGCTGCAATACTATCATAGGACTTAGGTAAACTGATTAACAATTTCTGAACAATTCTTTGATTACTCAGATTTTCACCATAGCTCTTCATTTGATTAATCAGATCAAACAATTTTGCAATATACACATAAAGAGATTCACTATCATTCATGCGAGTCTATTCAAAATCTCGCTTAAGACCTTGAAGTTTCACATATCTTACTTGCTTATCACCAACGAACTCTTGTTTCAGGATGTCCCACGTAGCCTTCGCACTTTCCTGAGTTTGCGATCCTCAGGAAAATTTGATCTGAAACGACACCTTGAATAATACCCAGTGCTCTAGCATCCTTGACCACATTTTCACGCAGCAGCTCCTCCTCTCCGCCTCTGTGAGTTCCTCCTCCTTCACCGGAGCTCTGTACCCACTCTCCACCATATTCCACAGTTCATACGAGCGAAAGATGGTCTTCATTTTGATTTGCCAGAAATCAAAATTCTCGCCATTGAAGATTGGCGCTCGGAGTTCTCCTCCTCTAGATCCAGCCATGTTAGACACTCGAATCACTGCAATAATCTTTTGCTGTGAATCCGAGCTCACCCCCTCGTAGAAATGACGCCTAGAAGTTTAGATCGAACTAGGCTCTGAGGCCATATTAGAATATAGCAACCCAACTACACAATAGATCTAACAGTATTTGAGATGGATACTCCGAAAGATTTAGAAGATGAATTCGAAAGAAGAACACACACACACAGAGCACAACTATTGAAGTTCTATCATTGTATTTCTTACTGAGCATATGAGCATGAAAAGACACTTAACCGACGTTGGAGAGAGAGAGAGACATAACCTCAATTCAATCTCAACCAACCATAACAACCTATCTTAAGATCAAGACACTTGTCAAATGATAAGCCCTATGAGACTTAATCAACACATTACATTTTTACACAATAACTCAGCCTATGAGCTGAAACATAACACACATAACAACCTTGTAATGTTTTCTAATCTGCTCAACAACTTACACACTAACAAGGCTTCCACCACTTATAATTTGTTACAGTAAAGATTTATTTCTATAATTACAAAAATCATTTAAAATATATATGCCCAAGACAAATCATTTCAAAATCATTTAAAATATATATACACAAGACAAAATCATTTAAAATATATATACCCACGACTTATAATTTGTTACAGTATAGATTTATTTCTAGTCAGTTAATTATGGCATTCCGCGGCTGGGAGAGTTGTGGATGGAGTAGGACTTTGCTTCTGCTCTATCCGCTGCAGAGTTCGATGGGAATTCGAACTGGGCAGTTGTGGAGAAGAGCGGGAATCACAAATTACAAACTTATATATGACACGAGAAAGCCAGGCTTTGGGCTCTAAATACAGCCTCTGCTGTACTAGCATGGCTTCATAGTTCATCTTATTAGATAAAATGTGCAATTGATGCTTGTAGTTCTTCGAGCGTTCGCCCCTTGGTCTCCGGCACTAGCTTCTCAACGAACACAACAGTTAAACCGCAAATGGCCGCAAAGATGAAAAATGTTCCTGAAATCATATGACCGATTACGAGAACGCAGGGGAAGAAATGAAAAAAAGAGATACAAAGAAAAGTAGGGGAGTTGGTTGCTGAGATACCTGATGAGGTCCATTCCATCACAAAGTTGAAGGTGTATGTAACAATCGAACCAGTGCCCGTATTCGCCAGAGTCACCAGGCTTCCGGCAGTGCCCTTGACGTTTATTGGAAATATCTGAAATTGAAATCATCCGTTCTTTGTAACAGAAGTTTATTGCACCGCTGAACTTGCAGTAATAAATTAGTGAAAGCACATGAAGGTCAAGCACACGACGTTAGCTACCTCTGCCATAATAACTAACGGAAGTCCTGCCATGCCTGCTGTGTATGATGCATAATAACCCTGAATGCAGTACGTACCAATATTAAATATCTCAAATGATATACAGAATTAATTCACAAACTATTGTTATTGAAAGCATTTTAGATCCAAGCATGATTTTGTTAGTATTTAAGTGATTTTAGCTGAAATAAATTTATGTTTTACTTGTTTTAATCAGAGACATTGGATTACATTCCAAGTGGATGCTCTAGATTAAGTTAGAGTACGTGATGTTGAGTGACACATGTAACTATCGCATAGGATAGATGATATGAATGGATGAGATTGTTTTCATTCTGTTAGAGGAGAGAGAAGGGCGATATTCCCTCCTTAGTGCAACGGTAATATTCGTTTTGCAATGTAAGAGAGAGAGAGTGAGCCATTCAATGAAATGTGTGTGAGGCTTCCATCATTGTGAAGCTCTCTGAAATTATTCAATCCTTCTTCCAGAAATCTTTCTTAGATCCATTGAATCACAGTACAAAAATCACACATCTAACATGGCCTCAAAGCCAGGTTGCATCATCTGCAACTGGGCGTGAATATGTGAAGAGCACAGTGAAGAACTCGAACTAATCGTCGAGCTTTGTTGCTGAAGGAAAATTCAGAGAAGAAATCTCAGTGATCTTGAATCGAATATCTCATATGGCTGGGTCAAGTGGTGCTGATCTTCGAGCACCGATATTCAATGGAGACAACTTCAATTTCTGGCAGATTCGGATGAAGACCATATTCTGATCTTATGAACTATGGGATGTTGTCGAGAAGGGTTTCGCTACTCCGGCGAAGAAAGATGAAGAACTCACTGAAGTTGAGAGCAAGTTGGTGAGGGAAAACATAGTCAAAGATGCAAAGGCACTTGGAATCATCCAAGGGGCGGTTTCCGTTCAGATATTTCTGAGAATCACCATCCAAGAGACTGCACACGCAGCTTGGAATGTCCTGAAGCAAGAATTTATGGGAGATAAACAGATAAGAGCTGTAAAACTCCAAGGCTTACGCTGTGATTTTGAATATACTAGAATGGGTGAAAATGAAGCTTTCTTTGCATGTCTAGTTAGGCTATTTGATTTGCTTAGTCAAATGAGGAGTTTATGGTGAAGATGTTACAC